TCCGAAGCTGGGTGATCAATAAACATACCCACTAACTGTAGACGCTCGGTTTCGGCCATCGTAAAATCATCGAAATATTGCTGTATCCGGAATATCCAACCCACCGGATTGTCACCGTTAAACCATGGAGGGTCAATACGCAAGCGGGGCTGGCGATTGTTAGAATCACTCCGTCCAGCTGTGCGTGAAGGAGGGGGCTGCCAGCGGCCGTCGAAAGGAACGTGTTTAGGACTGCCCGTCCCGGTAACCTCACCCCTAACCTTACCGGCAATCTAGCCGTTTGTTGGTATTGTTGAGCTCCAACCCTAGATTCTGGATAGATTGCATGATAGTAGTGAGCGGCAAGGGAGTCTCAGAATTCTTGCCGGAATCGGAACTCATCTTCGTTGGAACGTGGTTAAGTTCGAATGAAAGCACCAATGTTACCACAATGGGTAACTTACGACAGTTTTGGGAAGAGGAAAAGAGACGTGAGATAAGGGAAGAGAGGAAGAGGAAAAGGAAAAGGTGGCTGAACTTCTTCTTGTCCTTCAATATTAAATTAATACCCATATTTATAGGTAAAAGAAGTGACCCTATCCTAACACAACTAGGTTTTCTATCCTGTCGGTTCAACAAAAGCATCAAGGGAAAGAACTGAAAAGAAAACCCTTGAAAGAGCTTATATCACGCTCACCTAAAAAAAAACTAACGTACAATAATTAATCAAATAAAAATAATAAAATCTTCCACGGAAATATCAAACATAATCATCAAAACGCCTAGGGCGCCGCCTCGCCCTCTTGGGTCGTGTGGTATGGACTGGCGTTGTTGTGGCGTCTGTAACATACGGAGTATTTTTTGTTCAGATTTATTGTTCAAACTCTTTCAACTTTTGCATGTGCACACTGCACAGTACACTTCCCATTTCATCTGTTATTTTTTACTCATAATGAGACAATTTTGAACGTAAATTCGGTAGAGTTTACAAAATTATTTTTCCAAAATAATTATGGACGGATATTAGTTTAAGTGAGACGAGTAATTCGATATATTGTGCGCCAAAATTGATGCTCGGGTGAATGAGAAATTAATACACAAAGTCAAACACTTGGAAAGGGTAATACCCACGCAACCCACATCGGATTTTAGACCTTTCAACTTACTCCATTTATATGCTAGTCTTTAGTAACATTACAAAGTAATTTATGGAGGGAGAACCAAGGGAGCCCTGACGCATTACCGCCGTTGTTCATCCCGACATGTGCACAACGCATCAAACCCTTAACTTTTTACGAGATCGAATCAAACACATTAACGAAGTGACGAAGATAATAGGCATGCATGCATACAACCGAAGAGTCTCTGGTGACTCCTCGATTGTTCCACCCAAACCGTCCAGGTTCGTCCCATCCGCCCAAGACACACTCGAAACATTAAGCATTCCAACATCCTCTCGTTTCTGATCAATCTTCAGGCAACTATTTCACCATCATTCCCGTTCGTCGGCACAAGCTCTAGATCTTGTGTGTTAGCGGTTTTATCCTGGAAGAGGATCGTCCACGTTAGCCAGTGCGTGAGGTGGGCGATACTATCTTAAGGAAAGCTCCAGCGACTCCGCTTTCCTTAAATTTTTTCTTTCTTTTCACAGGCGTTGTTTTGGTCACTGCCACACCCACGTGCCACACCAATGTTCCACCAACGTTTCACAGGCGTTTTTTTAATATTTTTTTCTTTCGTTGTAAAATCTGAACTTATAATACGTTCAGATTACTTATTTCTTTCTTTTCGCTGTAATATTGGTAACATCATCTACATACTTCCTCTGTCTTATAAAGATGTTGTCACTTTAACTTTAAGAAATTTTGTGAGAAAAATATTTTTGCTTTCACCTTCCAAAAATACTCTTGATGTAATGGATAAAAGTAGGGTGTGATTATTAAACTATTAGTAAAAAGATATGATGTGATAGGTAAATTAGAAATTAATAAAGGTAAAAACGATTTTTAATTAAAAGAGTAAAGACACTTTGTAGGACAAGAAAAAAAGAGTTTTTGGAAGGAACGGGGTACTATTTTTAACAAAAGTAGAAATTAAAGGAAGAGGAGTGTAAATTCAACTTCAATTAATTTGTTCGGTCCGAGGGAAATATAAGGAGAGAAATGAATAAAGTTTTAAATTCTTTTATTTGGTTCGGGGTGAAATTGATCGGGTGGGGGTAGGGGTGTAAACGAACCGAATCGAAGCGAATTCCAAGACATTTGAATTTGTATTTGTTTAATTTTTTCGAATACGAATCCGAATTCGAATATGAGACGAATTCAAAATAAGATTTGAATAATCATACTATGTAATTTATATGATGGACCAATATCGATTTGTAATTTAACTTACGATACTTTTTATACTATACTATATTCCGTACCTAAAAACATTAATACATTTGCATCTTACACAAATTATATTTTATAAAATATAACTATTAAAAATCATATGCTTTAGATTTTTGTGTGACGTTAATTTATTGAATTCTTAGTAATTTAAATACACTTTATACTATATTACTTTGCTTGACTTTTGATATTGAAAACATGGTTTGTGCATATATACATATATTCGAATATTCAAATATCATCTGAATCGAATATATCCCTATTTGTATTTATATTTGTTTAATATTCGAATCAAAAATAATATTTGAATTTGTATTTGTATTTGAATAATGCGAATTCGAATCATTATATTCGAATACAAATCACGAATCGAATTCAAAATATTTGATTTGTTTACATCCCTAGGTGGGGGTGGGGGTTAGGACGAAAGTCGTAATAAGAATTACCAATTTTACGAACGGAGTATCGTGAATGCCCCAAAACTAATGCTGACAAGAATATATTAATAGAACTAGTGTTAACCTCATGTTTCGCACGGGCTTGTATATATTCTAAATTTTTGAGATTCTATATATATAATATTATTTGTTTTAGTTCTCTAATAGTGACAAAATATGTTTTAAACTAGTCAAATATATATTGGTATGTTAATTTAAAAACAAACAAATTCTACAAAATTAATGGTTATTGAATTAAGTACTAATATAAATAGTTTAAATTAATAAAATATTTTAATAAAAAATTGATTAATTACACAATGATACATCATTAGAGAATGTATATGTGTGATAATGTCACTTGTCAGTTGTGACCCTTCAATTAAACTAATTTACTCTATTTACTTTGATAAAAAATATATGTAGCAATAAAATAAATAATATAATAAGATAAAATTTTGAAAACAAAGTATTTAATTAATAAATATGCATATGTGATTAAATTTGTATAATCATTTTTTTAAAAAGTAATAAACTAAAATAAGTTTTGGATAGTATAAAAATAGTTTTATATATATATATAGGATTGGAAATTAATTGAGGAAATGATTGTTATGCACGTGGACACTTTTTCTTGCACTAAAGGAGTATATACGAATGTTTTTTGAAAAGTAATATGACAAAATAAATGGTGAGTAATTTTAAAATTTTAAATATAAAGTTCTTTAAGTTAATACTCCCTCTATGTAATTAATTTTTTTATTTCCTTTGTTAATTTGTAAGTAAAATAACTATAGAGACAAATACACTTTGTTCGAAGTGGGACTTTTGTTGGGGGCGAAGGGAGTATAACCTAAATTTTAAAAAATTACTTCCTCCGTTTTTTTAAAGTGTTCCTATTTTGACTTTGTGTAAAAATAAGGAAGTGTTAAATTGTAGTTGACTTCCAATTTTGCCCTTGATGTGATGAGTAAAAGTAAGATGTGATGGATTGAGTATTAGAGAAAAAGTATGATGTGATAGGTAGGGTATGAAAAAGTAAGGGTAAAAGTAGTTTTTTAAAAGAAAGTGGAAGTGTTTTGTTGGAAGTAAAAAAAATGAAAGATGAAGAGTTTTTGAAAACGGAGGGAGTACAATGATGGAATAGAAACTTGTAAAATAGTTAGAATGTAAACAAATTTATAAAAATATAATCAAAGTAATGATTACTTAATATAATTTTAATATGCAGACGTGGCATGCCACGTTGCATCACATTTATACTTCATTTATTTGAACTTTTGTCTCCTTTAATGTTTTCTTATGTCACACTAATTATTTCAAATAATATGTACGGAGTATAATTCTTCCTCTATTCTAGAATAATAGTGTTAGTTCCATATGATTGTCCTCTTTATGTTTTATTTAGTTGAGTTGTTGTATCTCTGGTGGACATTATTTTTTGACAAACAACTAGATGTTAGAAGTTGTATCTAGAAGTTGTATCCGATATTTGATTTGGTCAATTTTTGTAAAGTTTATGTGTAATTATCGCATTTAGAAAAAACTACTCCCTCCGTCTATATCTTTTCTTTCTAATTGACTTTTCACGATTTTCAACGCACTAATTTGACATTTAATATATCTATTTATATATAAATGCTCCCTCTGTCCCACTATTTTTGTAAACTTTTCCTTATTTATTTGTCCCACTATTTTTGTAAACTTTTCCTTATTTATTTGTCACACTTTTTTTTTGTAAACTTTTCCTTTTTCTTTGTCTCACTATTTTTGTCAATTTTCCTTTTTTTGTACGGAGTAATACTCAAAAGGCTCAATTGTCTCTTTTAGCCTTGCTAAAATTTTAATTACATGGTACTTATTTTCTTTCTCTTATACAGCCATAAAAGCATTGCCATACTCCCACAAAAACACTTGCCAACGTAGAACTGTACACTTGGAATCTCAATTAAACTGTACACCTGGTGTACACCAAGTGTACACTAGAGTAGTAACAAGCACACACAAATCTTCAATGTCTGTGCGTTTTGTGTTAGTGTACACTAAGGGGCTGTTTGTTTCAGCCTCTTAATGGTTCAGATGTCTGAATGGTTCAGCACTTAATGGTTCAGACTGTTTGTTTCAGCCTCTTAATGGTTCAGATGTCTGAATGGTTAAAAGATTTGTCTCTGAATGGTTAAGTATTACACAGAGTCTGAATGGTTAAGACCTCTTATCTGAATTGATCAGACATTTGCCTCTGAATAGTTAAGCAATATACTAGCTCTTAATGGTTCAGACCTCTTACTGGTTCAGCACTTAATGGTTCAGACCTCTTACTGGTTCAGCACTTACCTATTCAGAAGTTGCCAAACAGCCCCTAAGTGGGGTTTGCCAAGTATTTTTCAATTGATATACTCCGTGGAAGAAAGAGATCTTGAGTATTTCAATATGGAGTGATCATATACAAAAGAAGAAGACTACACCGGCTAGAAAGAAACCTATGATGCCGGCAAGATTAAAATTAAAAGACCATCAATTTGGCCTATTTTGTGTTTCATTTTAGATTTAGGGCTTCGCTCCACCCAGATCTCTCTCACATGCCAAATCTCTTTCTTCTAACCAAATCAATCTCCACAAATCAAAGAAGAAGGTGGCAATGACAATGATAAAGAAGACGACATCAAGATACGTTACCGATTATTATAATGAAAGGGCACTGATGAATTCATGAAATATTGTGCCCTTGATATCTGTAAGAACGATGGCGACAAACTCTATCAATGAACATTTCACTATATTTTTCAAAAAAGTACGCATGTGTATTTCCTATTTTGAAAAACTAACTATTGGGTACCTCATATTTTTAAACTATACTTTAGGGTAACCTCTGTTTTTAGAAATTAATTGTCGGGTAACTCACATTTTTAAAATATACCCCGGGAACCTCCAAATGTATATTAACTTACCCGTGAGGGACATTCTATTGAATTCGAAAGCTTCGATTAAACTGGATAGATCGTATCCTTAAAGTATAAGAACGAAGGTTATTTTTGGAATTCTAAGCCCCTATTTCTTAAAGTTAATGGCGTAACTGGATTTGACGGAGAGTGAGACAGAATGTACCCCACTAATAAGTTAATGTATATTTGGAGGTACCCCGGAGTATATTTTTTAAATGTGAGGTACCCAGTAGTTAGTTTCTCAAAATAGAGGGTACCTCATTATATATTTTAAAATTGTGTGGTACCCGATAGTTAGTTTTTCAAAATAATACGTACCCACCTCCTTTTTGATAAATGTTCCAAATAGAAACTAAGTGATAACACCAAAACGAATGGAGTATTCAATATAAAAAATTTGATGGTTCGAAATAAATCTATGGATATTAAGTCTCTACCACAATTCGGTTACTTTTTTCTTATTTTGTGATCAAAGTTTAAAAAAAATGTCTACAAAAGTCAAAATGAGAAGAAAGATATGAGACGAAAGTAGTATCTAGCTTGTTACGATGTGATCTGTATAACTTATATGTTGAGCTTATTACATATTTTTATCGGTAAGTTATATACTCTATTGTAGGGGAAATGGCTCTCTCCTCTCTTCCCTATTGAGGTGGAAAACATCAAACTGGCGAAGCATACCAGTGATTCTGGTGTCTATGATTCAGAAGGAAGGTACGTTAATTTATTCAATAAAGCTAGGGTAACCCTAAAAGGGTGACCACAAGCATGACATCATGCTTCATACAGAGCACACATATCTTTATTGCTCGCATCACATATTTAATAATGGTCTCTTTCGTCCGTGCAAAGTATGTCTTGTTCACGGTAAAAGTATATTTTTATTCAATAACAAAAAAAGCTTGTGCCTAAGTGGAAAAAATATGGTTTTTTCTTATTGTAAAGTGAAAAACACAATATATATATATATATATATATATATATATATAAAATTAAAATAGAAGGCAAAAAAGAACAAGAGGATGGGTCCAAGCCAAAGCTCCTCAAAACCGAATGCAGCAGCATAAGCAGATCAAGAAGGAGACGAAAGGTGTCTCCAAAAACTAAAGTACAAAGCATTGAAATACAAAAGCAATTACAACCCCTTGAGTGGGTCTTCAAAGATTCCAATTGATAGCATCTCAATACAAGAGAACGGACCCATAGGAGGTGTTGGAAATTTAAAGTAAATTGGACATTTTTTTAGACATAAATTCGGTAGGGTCCACAAAATTATTTTCTGAAATAATTATGGACGTTTAATCTCGTAAGTAAGACGAACGTTTTGACATATGACACGCCATAAACGGTGCTCGAGTGAATGAGAAATTAATTCTCAAAGTTGAATACGAGGGTAGAGTAAATACCCTTGTCCCACACCGGTATTTTGAACCTTTCATATTCTCATATTTAACCTTAGGCTCTTAATTGAGCTTATGAAAGGAACAAGAAGAGGACTCCTCGCGCGCCTCCACTGTCCGGCTCGGAATGCGCGCATCGCGGTGGGGCAGAGCTAAATTTTTACGAGACCGAATTGAACACGCGTGGACACTTCGTCATTAACAAAGTGCCTTCCATTTGAGCATGCATGTACAGGGAGGCGAAGAGGGCGCCGGTGACGCCTCGTAATCTCCGATCGGTCCAAGCGAAGAGCCAACTTCCCTCCTATAAAAGGAAGGCTTGGGTGCAGGAAGAGAATACACTCGAAAATACTCACTGCGTTACATAAATTCCAACTGTCTACCATTTCCGATCATCTTCTCTGGCAGTGACTTCCGTTGTTCTCGTTCGTCGGTGCGCGGTTCTACCGCCCTAGGCCTTGCACGTAGCGGTTTTATCCTAGGAGGAGATTGCCCACGTTTGCCAGTGCGGCAGGCGGGCAATACTTCCTTAAGGAAAGCTCCGGCGACTCCGCTTTCCTAACTTTAGTTCGAGAAACTGCTCTGGCGACTTCCTAGCCTTCGCCCGACGTCTCTGTTTGTCTTTCAAACACCCGTCCGTTCGTGTTCTTCCGTCCGTTCGAGCCTCCGAAGACTCCAATTTCCTTTCTTTATTTTTCGTTGTAAAAACCGAACGTTTTATAAGTTCGGATTATTATTATCATTTTTATTTTATTCCCGTTGTAATATTCAACAATCTTAAGGTAGTATTCATGGACTTCGGATTCGGCATCGTGGGTTCCTCCGGAAACGGGATGAGTTCCGAAATTCCGGTGGAAACCTCTTTGGTCACCATGGTCGTGCCTAGGGCTGAGCAACGGTCGGTTTTGGTTGGTTTCGGTTTGAAACCGAAAAAAACCGACTTTTTTTAACATGGTTGAAAATTGACCGAACTGAACCGACCATAAATTAAAACCGACTGAACCGAAACCGAAAACTGCCCATACTTAAAAGATCGACCGAAAAACCGAATTCTAATTACTTTTATTTTGATTTTTTAATATAAATTCAAGAAACTAATTCGGCAAGGTAGATTGATATGTATTAAATTAGTTTAGATTAAGACTTTTCTATTGTCATTGATTTAGTAAGGTAGATTAATTTTTATTTGAATATACACTATCCATTTCATATAAAAATTGCACTTTTCTTATTAATATGTTCAAAACATTAACAAATAATTTTTTTTAAAAGTGAAACATTATAGTTTTCCATGAAAGAGTAAAAAGAAAGCATGTGTGTTAATCAAATATTTTCTTATTTTAAAAAATAAAAAATAAATTAAAATAAAATCATCGGTTATTCGGTCGGTTCGGTTTTTCTTACAAAAAACCGACCGAAAAACCTAAAAAACCGAAAATAATTTTTAATGAAAATCGAAACCGAAACCGAACTTCCGGTTATTTCGGTTTTCGGTTTTCGGTTATGCGGTCGGTCCGGTTAATTTGCTCACCCCTAGTCGTGCTGTCCTCACCGCTGCCCTTTGGGTCAAGTGTGGGGGCCGCAACCATGACGTCATTCTCGATGCCTAGCTCGATCTTCGGGTCGGCCCCTCGACCCATTCCCGGGCTCGAAACCACGGGAGATTACCCCGTCAGTAATTCAAACCTGTTTCTCAGACCGACTATGGCTTCGGCCTCGATGGTCAACTTTGGACCGAACGCGGGTTTCCCCGCACCGGTGAATCCATTCGTTGGACCTCATTGGGCGACCAACGGGCCTTTCCTCCATACGCCCAATGCGGTTGGGGCCATTTCAGTGCACGCTAGCTCGGTCCAAAGGCCACCGAAGTTCAATGGCACGAACTTCAAAATGGTGAACCAAGCGTGGTACCACAATAATTATCTCGCCATCAACACTATCCTCGAGGGGTTGGCCGAGATGCTGTACCCCGTCTACGCCGGTGCAAAGCTTGCCAAGGACCTTGGAACAGCTTCAACAAAAAGTATCAAGTTGAAGATTCCGGAACGAAGAAGTTCATCGTCGGGAAGATGCTGGACTACAAAATGGTCGACAGCAAATCTGCTGTCGCCCGGGCTGAGGAGCTTACGGTAATCTTCAACAAATGCAATGAAGAAAAAGTAAGCGACAGCTAGGCCTTCCAAGTGGCAGCCATCATCCACAACTTCCTAGGTCGTGGGAAGATTTCCAAGCCGACCTCAAGCTCAAAAGAACAGAGCTGAACCTGGAGCAACTGCTCACGCGGTTGAGGATCCGAGAGGAAGGGCTTGCCAGAAGAGGTGGAGGAGCAAAGGCAAATGTTGCAGGAAAGTGCTACATCGGGCTCCTCACATGGCAGGAAGGACAAAAAGAAAATAGGTCCTAAGGGTGGCATTTCTAAATTTGCTGGAAAGTGCTACAATTGTGGCATTACCGGGCATCGTTCCTCCGATTGTAGAAAAAAGAAGCCACAGAAGAACAAGAAGAAAACCACTGAAGTCATGTGCACAGAGCTCAACAACTTGGACCTCTGCGCAGTCGTCACCGAGGTGAATCTCGTCGGGTCAAACCCGAGGGAATTGTTTGTGGACACAGGGGCCACACGCCATATTTACTCAAACAGGATCATGTTTCACGACTTCTAAGAGACCTCCGGTGACAAGGTTTGGATGGGAAACTCAGCCCAATTAGAGGTTCAAGGAGTGGGCAAGATTAAGCTCAAAATGACCTCAGGCAAAGAGCTAACGCTTAACGACGTGCTCTATGTGCCAGATATTCGCAAGAATTTAGTGTCAGGGTCATTGCTGATCAAACACGGTTTTGGGATGGTGTTTGAATCAGACAAGCTAATTTTGTCCAAGAAAGGGATTTTTATTGGGAAAGGTTATATTTCAGATGGGCTTGTCAAGCTTAATGTAATGACTGTTCATGAAAAGATCAATAAAAGTTTTGTTGCTTATGTGTGTGAGTCTTCTAGTATATGGCATGGTAGACTAGGACATGTTAATTATGCATCTATTCGGAAATTAATTAACATGGAACACATACCTAAGTTTAGTATTGA